AAAATGATATCTAACAAAGACTTCTGCACTCAGCTGTAATTCGTTGGCGAAGATCTTCTATGGACTCGGGCTGCGTAGCAAAACATTTATTTTTCAAGTGTCCCCAAAGAAAAAAGTCTAAAGGCGATAAATCAGGTGACCTGGCAGGCCATTCGATGGGGCCTCTCCTTCCAATCCACCATCCAGGAAACCGGTCATCTGAAAACTCTCTTACCGGAGCAACATAGTGAGGAGGTGCTCCATCTTGCTGGAAATTAAGCCGATCATCATTATGATTTTGGTCATTTTCAATTATTTCTCTTATGAGAGAATCAATTGTATCTTCAAGCATGTTCAGGTAGACCTCACCAGTTGAATTCCCAGGAATAAAAAGTGGCCTTACGATATGACTACCTAATATGCCACACCAGACATTGATTTTTTGAGGGTACTGGGTATGGACCTCTCGGAATAATTGTGGGTTATTGTTATTCCAGTAAGGGCAATTATGCCTATTCACAGCTCCATTAAAAAAAATGTACTCTCATCGGAAAAGCACGTGTTGAATGATAGGTGCGGATCATCAATTAGTAGCTGGCTCAGTTGTTCACAAAATTGCAGCCTTCTATCAAGATCATCTTCATTGAGTTCCTGCACTAATTTAATTTTGTACGAATGAAATTTATAGGCTTTCAATATCCGTATTATGGACGAACGGGAGACACCTGAGGCTGCAGCAAGCTGACGAGTGCTTTGAGTATGACCCAATTCCACATGTCCCAAAACAGCGACTTCCACTGCTTCATTTCTGATCGGTTTCCGTGGCCAGTGTTTCACATTACAGACAGATCCGGTATCGAGAAACTTTTGTACTAACTTGGCAACGTACGAATCATTCACATTTTTCCCGGGATGACTGTTATTAAAGAGGCAAGCAGTAAGTCTAGCACAACTATTATGTTGATGATGAAGTTTAACAATTTCAACTCGTTCAGGAATGGAATAAACCATTTTTACAGTAAAGTTGAAATAATTTCAAAAGCAACCGAACTGAATCAATGAACGTTTGCCTAAATTCTTTTTGTACACTTATATGTGATAAAAATGCCGTTTTTTCCGCATTTTCATTATCACCAAAAATATCGAGTAAATGTTCTTCCTTTTTTATAACTATTCAAGTAAATACAACAAATTAGATATCATTGGAAAGAGAATTTTGTGCTCTTTCAAATGATATATTACTCGACTCCACTTTACATTTAAAATTTTAGGGTTGTTACTCACCCTCGCTAGGGGGTTGAAGGCACAGGTACAAAATTGACCTGTCCGAGCATTTTTGCGTCAAGTTACAAAAAAAGGAGAAGAGCAAGGTGCATACTTTTCGTTGAACCACTCGATATACAACATTTATGATTATTTACATGGGCGTGGACACTGTACACGTGTACATGAGAGGTAGGTTGGGTGGTTTAGGAAAACTAGTTGATGAATATATTACTATCTTTTGCAGTGCCTGAACAGGGTGAAACATTGATCACCTTAAAACAAAAATATACAGTGAGTGATAACGAAAACGTTACATGTGCTTCGTCAGCAGAGCAATATATCAGATTCTTCGTTTGTCTAATAAGTCGTTGATATACAATAAAAAGAGTGTTGAGACAATATGAATCCCTGGGAAACAGCAGCGTTGATGACAAGCCATAGCGTCGATAGGTGGCCAACAAACCCTCATGCCACACACGATCGAAGGCCTTAGAAATATCAAGCGCAATAGCTCTTGGGTCTCCATGTTTCTCGATTGCGCCATTTCAAATATGAGTGATATACGACAGAAGGTCGCCTGTTGAAGCCTTCCAAATATTTGGGGATATGGTGTTTTACGAATTTCTTCATGATTTTTGATATCACTGATAGCAAAGCGACTGGTCTATAGTTATTTGGAAGAGTTTTCTTGGCTTTTTTTGGAATAGACTGAACGCAAACAATCTTCCAACAAGAAGAATAAACCTCTTCCCTGCAAGCCAGGTTGAAAAGTCTGCAAAATACTGGTGCGAATTCATTTGCGCACTTTTCAAGTACGATGACGGGCACTTCATCAGAACCAGACACTTTGTTGATATTGAGCTGTTTGAAAATTCGCCTAACTAGACGAAAACTAATTTTCAGCATTTAGATTCCAATGTGGGAATAGTGGGTAGTGTCTTTCCCAGAAAATTGACTAGAGTAGTGTTGAATTTTATCCCACACTTCAGTCAAATATAAATTGAGAAATTAATATCATATTATCAGTAGAAAAATTAGAACAGGTACGTTTATGCATTTTTTGNCCATTTATAGACATTCTATGCACATTCTTTCGGGAATAATCCTGCCATATTCATTCAAGCCTATTCTATGAATATTCTAAAGGCATGTATATATTCCAAGAATATTCTATGAATATTTGGAATATATACGTTCGTTTTATGATATACAGGAAATATTCTATGAATATCTGGTGCTGTGTGGGTTTCACAGTGTTCTATTGTGGGTCCTGTGTTATTTCTCCTATATAATGATTATATTGTGAAATAAAATTGTTCATGTTGCAATGTATGCAGATGATATCTCTGTTTGTGTCGTAGATCATTCTGATGAAAAGCGTAGAATACGTTGTTATGAACAAACTCAATCTTTGGCAACGTAGACATATGACAACTTATTATTTTTCAATGTGGATAAGACATAATATCTTTGGTTTCACAACCGTCAAAAAATATGTACATGATGAGCAATGATTGGAAATTACATTGTTTGAATTTGATATCAGTGCTACATTTACAGTGCTGTCTTCTGCAGAATTTGAGAACTGTACTTACAAATTCTCAATTACTGATGGTGTATTAGCGGCAAGTGGAGAATCGTATGAGTTATAGTATTTGTTTCTGAAGGAAGAATAATCACTTGGTGATTGAAATACTTGTCGAGGTGTTTCGATTTTGAGATAAAGCTTCAGTAATATCCATACGATTATCAAATTCAATTCCAGCAACGAAGGTTTCCTCCAAACTGATAAAGTCATTTCGTATTTCAAACATGTCACTCACTAAACAAGTTAATGGCACCTTGTACATTGATTCCGTTGTCACCCGGTATACAAGCATTGTCCTTATATCCTTGCAAATGGGAGTGCGCATTGTTGGAACATCCTTTTAACATGAAATACATACGTAACTTGGTGTCAGAATCGATTTTTTTTCTCAAAAACGAAGGAAAATTATTCACAATTCATTTTTATGCCACTGCAGGAGGATAGTCACCATGGAAATTGGCCTGTTTCTATTCGTTTTGGTTTGCACTGCTTCTGCAGTTCCTATTGAGCAGGATACTATGAACGAATTCACTGTTGGAAACCGTAGGTTCTCTGCAGGACTCTATAAGGTAAGAATATATAATTATACTGTCACAGAAAACAATTTTTCTTGTTTTTCATCTCAAAAAAAAATTTTATTTGACATTTGAGCTGAATATTTTCTTTTTTAACATAATTGTGAGGTAGTTGAATATTTTCGCAAAGTTCATTTCAATAGCTTCCGTAAAAGGAAGTATATTTTTTTTAGTTGATGGGACTTTTCCTTCACCAGAACGAAATCACTGGCTAACCTCAGCATCAACAAGAGATGACGCGAATTTGTATGTCAATTCAAACATTATTCCATATATAACGATGAGATTGGAACCTTTGCGAAAGTTGAATAACTTTTTTCGAGATCAATTGCCCTAACACCAAACTGATATTTTACACCATACTAGACTAGGTATCAATTTTCTTCTCCTGAGGATGCTAACTTTGTTGGCGAAACGCGCGTTGAGTGCAAAAATATCAGTTTGGTGTTAAGGCAATTGATTCGAAAAAAGTTATTCATTAGATAGATAGATAGATAATTTATTGGTGTCTTATACATTCATCAGTATTTACACAGGTCAATATGTACATATAATTAAAATTAGTATATGTCAGGCATCTATTATTATTTACATAAACAATAGATTGTTATTCCATATTTCATTTTCACCTACCATAATATACATCAAGCTTCGATCAGAATTCACAGATGAGACTGTGAGTTATTAGGAAATGTTTCATAAAAGTTTCGGAGTTCACTGCATATCTGAAATGTTTTTCAACATACAGGGTACCCAATGGCGTATCAGACTCAGGTTTTTCAAATGGATTCCATCAGAAAAGTTCTTTCTAAAACAATGTTTATGTATACTCGTATAACCAGTGATTCGAAGGTGACTACACGTCAAAATAGAGTTTTGTCATCCGTCCGCATTTTCAAGAAAGTCATTTGAGAAGTTTGGATTGGGATATTTTGAAAATTTAGTTTCTCCATTATCAAATAGTAATTTGATTAGAAACTGAGTGAATTGGAACTCAAACACATGTTTTTATTCCTTTGAATAACACTCTGTATTCAATTTCATAGTTTATTTTACCGTGAACAGCGCTTTATGCATGAGTTAACGCCTAGCTGTTGAAGTGAGTTTTATCATAAAAAAAATATTGATTAACATTTTGTTGACAAAGTTATCCATCTCAAAAAAATATTTCAAACGATTGATGTTTTTTTATTGTTGGGAAGAAACTTGAGCCCACAATGTTTCAGTAATATTAATCACGAATAGGTCTACTTGACGACGCTAAATATTGTGTATTTTATTTTCCTACGAAAATGGTCAATCAAGATGAGTCTACTGAGCAAACTGTCACACAAAGATCTCTTCATATTTTCGAAGGGGTTGATCACCTGAAGATCTATTACCTACTATGACTCGTAATGCAAAATACTGGTGCAAGTTCATTACTATTATTATGTTTCAATATTATTACTTGATTACGAAAAGGAATTGGAGCTTCAATAACTTTTAATTATTATATGCGAGCGCTTTCGATAGCAGACTGTGCTTGCATCTCCATGTCTATACTTGAACTGAACGTTTTATCTTATTGTTTGTTTTTTATCACGGTTAGATCGACTTAGTAATCTGTTGATGCTTCATTAATTAGTGTATTTCATCAGTTCGGACTTCCATTATCTATCCCATTGCCAATGAGATCGCCACTTCCACCTGTTATAGTCAATTTATATATGGAGTGGTTTGAAACTTTGGCCATTGAAGAAACCCACAAGAAGCTCCGAGTCTGGCTGAGATACGTAGACGACACTTTCACAATAGAGAAAGAAATCCACAACGAATCGCCTTTCTTAGACGTATTGGTGAAGAGAACCGCCACTAAATGGAAACATCTGTATAACGAAAACACACTCACACAGGACAGTATCTGAACCAGAACTCCAACCACCATCAATCGACTAAGAGAGGAATCATCAAGACTCCACTGGACCGTGCTTTTGGTCTCTGTTATACAAAAGAGGGTCTCGAAAGGAAACTTGGCATCATCAAAAATGACCTTCAACGGAATGGTTACTTCAAAGTGATGGTAGAACAGGCTTTAGCTAGAAGACAGCAAGAACTTCACAAGGAAGAGAAGCCGCCACAACCAGTACTTGTACTTCCCTACATCAGAAGATTATCGGAAAGGATAAGACGGCTTGAGTCCAAGTATAACATCAGGACCTGCTTCAGATCTGGGAACACTATCCGTAGCAGCCTCACGAAAACCAGGCCACTAAACATGCTCAAATCAATTTATATTATATTAGACAATGGAAGTCCGAACTGATGAAATACACCACGAGACATTGTCAACCACCTTCAAACAAATCATTATTTAGTGTTTCAGCAGGTATTTGTCCTCCCCTTTCATCCGGATGTCTCAATAAATTTGCATGTACTTGGGTTACATCAAGTGAATTGACTTATCGAAGAACAAATACAAATCAAAACACAGCAATACCCAACATTCAAAATACTCCACAAAAAACAATGAACCTAGAGAAACACCAACACAAAGAATATCACCTGATGTAACCCAAATAAATCCGGATGGAACAGGAGGACAAATACCTGCCCAAATCCTCATTAATGAAGCATCAACAAATTCACTAAGGCGATCTGTTTTAAAAAAACTGTTTAAAATCTGTTTTTTCGTTAACCAGCTGTCGCACCCCTACGAACGACAACCCTCAGAAGTCGAAACTTATGCGAGCTAAGGATTAACAAGGTCTTACCTTTTAACGTGTGATTTCTAACACGGGTTGGACGACAGGAAGTGAAATTCGATCGTTCAGACTAGGGCTTGAACCACCGACCAACACGGCAGTCAATTCGAGTGAGTGAACAAAGCATCCACGTCGAACCGCTTCACTACCGACCGACTAACGGTATGAAAGAACAAATAAGAAGATAAAACGTTCAGTTTAAGTATAGCCACGAAGATGGAAGATAGCACAGTTTGCTAGATTTTGGCCAAATTATCAATTGTTGCTTGAAAGCTACATTTATTGAACATCTTCAGGCCAATACAGACACTTCAAATGGGTTTTGATTGAAAATGGGGACGGTGAATAGATCCGCATCGCAAAGTTGTTTTTGGCATAACTTCTAACTCACTGTATTTCCAAATGCACAAAGAAAGGGCCGTTATTTCTTGTTCCTGAATTTGTTCCTGAATTTTTTCAAAATGTTTAATATATGTGATGGAATTGGACATGTTTATTCAATGCGTAGGTGAAATTTCCTTTCATGATGTTCAAATTTTTAATCAATATTCACCTCAACTCAGGTGAAATTATTGATCATTAAGTAGATGAAAGGTCATATAATTCAAATTTTCGTTATATGAAGCACTAATTGAGTAGGATTCAGTCAGTATCAAAACGCTGTTGTGGTTTTGTTAAACATTTCAGTAAAACACTCACAATAAAATATTACCTGATCGAATAATGTTGTATATTTCCTACATTTTATGATACAACTAAGTAAAACAAAAGCTTCCACTATTCTAGGAAGTCATGAAAGAAAAGAGTGGTAACATGGTGATGAGTCCCTTCTCTGTTCAAACTGTCATGGCCATGACCCATGAAGGAGCCAGAGGAGAAACAGCCGAAGAAATGGTCACCGGTCTTTCACTACCATCGACCAACGAAAACATTCGACAAGCTTTTAAAGCATATTTGCCTGTACTCACATCCACACATGAGGATTTGAAAATGTCGACTGCGAACAAGGTTTATGTTGGAAAGGAAGTTAAACTCGAAGATGATTTCAGACAAGTTGCAGAGAATGTTTATGGATCAGGTGAGTTCTTTTTGGAATCAGAGTAGTCTTACGTAAAATAACATTCAGTTTAATGTGGCATAAACTATTCCTTTATTTATCACAAAACACTTCTTTATATCAAAGGTTAAAACTGACGAATATGTTAGATACACTCACATAAGAACAATTGACTGAAAAAACTAATAATTTTTTCATTACAAATTGGCGATTATCTGTTTTAAAAATCTGTTTAAAATCTGTTTTTCCGTCAATCAGCTGTCGCCCCCATACGAACGACAAGTCTCAGAAGTTGAGAAACTTGTACGAGCTAAGGACTAACGAGGTCTTACCTTTTAACGTGTGATTCCTAACACGGTAAAATGATTATAAATGATGATGTTGATTTGCCAAGAATTCAAAATTCACTCCGACTTGAAAAGGTAATTTTAGATCCATTTACGTCATTCCATTACAAGTTTTTCACTCGAATAAATCTGTTTTTCGAATATTGAAATAAAAATGATCCAACTTGAAAGGAGAATATTTTTGGAAGATATCAATTTCTTGGTGAAACATTTTTTTTATTTCAGCTTCACAATTGTTGAAATGTCAAAGTCACTTCCATCATTCATTTGAATTATATTGACCTGTTCTCGTATGAATACATCCGAGCTCATGATACTAAGTAGGAAATGTTACCATATATTAGAAGGATATGTGATCACACATATACTTAAAATTGGCCTGGAAATGGCAATGAAGCTGAAATTAATGACATGCAGGTTCATGTTGAAAGCAATGAAAAAACAAATTACCACTACTGAGGTTGAACGTGTCGAAAACTATGTTCCAGCAGAACAAAAATAAACAAATTAAACGGGAAAGTAAATAAAAAAGTGTCAAGATAAAAATGTTAAGATGATAGATGATAAAACACAACATTCACATAAATTCATATGATAAAACGCGTTAAAAATATTGAATCATTCAACAAGGGGAAGGAACCATATGTGCAGTCAACCTTGAACTGATATCAAATTATGATAAATGAAGTATACCACAGAATTCAAAAATTTTCTTTCGAAAACGAATCATTCTTCGTTAAACATTTTACAGGAAAAAGTTGTTTATTTTGACGAAATCCATCACATAGTTAGTTTTTGTAATGTTCTCAGCAACTTCACTCATCGCCCTAGGAGCTAAGTAATAAGCATCGATATAGAAAATTGTAAATATCTCGAAAACGATCACCTCCAGCGTTGTTGAGGAGGTGTACCTTTTTTACTTGAAAAAGGTGTGGATATTGGGTTTTTTCATGAAAAGTAGCAAAAGTTCACTGTTAAAAAAGTTAGGGCAATTTGAAGTAAATAATGATAGCGTACGCAGCGCCCTCTGGATGTTACATGAAAATTAACATGAAATTATGATTTCCCACGTCAAAAATCCCCGGGTACCAAATTTGGTGCAAATAACTTATTTTTTGCAAGTGTTATTTTCAAAAAGCGAACGAAAAAATTCAATTTCAACACCCCGTGTCTCCGAAACGAAGCATTTCCGGACACAAGTTCATATAAACTTTTTTTCTTAAAATTGTCTCAGAAATACGTCACTTAAATATTTCAACGTACTTTTGTTACACCCTGTATATATGTCTGTCTGTCACTAAGACACGTCTACCATGGAAGTATGATTACAAATGGTAAAACACTGCTACCAACTGCTGTGGAGGAGAAACACGAAGTGACCCTAAATCATTAAAAATTAGTATTTATCAAAAATTGAATAGGCTTCCTCTGCGATCGCGATAGAGGACGTTTGTGCCGAAAATGACCAAGTGGGGTCCAAAAGAGAGGTTCATTCTGAAATGAAATTGAGTTCGAATGAATATTGAAGTGAAAGATGTATTGAGGAATGGCGGACTCCTACGCTAGTAACCACGCTTGATGTCGACGAATTCGACTAGGTCATTAGTTCGATAATAGATGTGATATTTTCATTCGGAAGCCTCCCGAGAAGGGGGCGACCAGTAAGAAATTGAAGTGTTTTTTCAAGAAAAAGTGATTGAAAAAACTTATAGAGAGAAGTATTGAATAATTTCTTGAATTCCACTATTCGAGAGAGAAGAATTTACTAGGTTAAACTTCGAAAATGTTTTCATTATTCTGAAAATGATACAAGTTTTCATAAATATCAAGCAGAAAAGCATTAATTCTATTGAGGTGATCACTATCAATCTTTCTATTGAGGCAACAATCTGACTAAGGAATGAAAACCATCTCCAGGAATCCAATTCGATCAATTGTTAGGATTTTGCTTCCTAACTCCTTCTCAGCTTTCTACTTCTCCATTTCCTTACAAAACATTGTGAGAAACTTCATGAAGTGGAATGAAAGCAATTCAGTTCAAAATAAACTTTTCAAGAAGGTGTTCAGTTCAATTTCAAAACAATTGCTTTTCTCCTTCCTCAGCTAGTGAAGGAGTAAAGAGTCAAATGCTATTTTATTGAAGACTGACCTGTTTCGGGAATCTTCAAAAGTTTCGTTCATTTGGCAAGTGAGGAATCTACGATTTACTCCATGGATGCTTTGGAAATAATTTGTCCTTATATTTCGAAGGTCAACAATAATAAAAAAGCACTGAATACATTTTTCTTTCACAGCAATGTTCTTTAATTACATAAATTTGATATATGTCTCTCAGGTTTTCNCTGAAAGGAAGATCAAAAATCTCATGGATCCATCAATTATCAGCAGTGACACTAAAATGGTGTTGGTAAATACACTATATCTCAAAGCCAAATGGGAAACCCCATTTAGAGTGGCGAGAACCGAGAAAAAGACATTCCACAAATCGAAAGATGAAACTGTTCAAGTCGATATGATGCAACTTGCTGAATTCATGAAGCACTATCACGATAATGCTCTGAAGGCCCAGTTTTTGGAAATGCCTTACGTTGGTGAGTCGATTTCACTCTCACGATACATATTTATCACACTAAGGTCAGACTGCTTGAGATATTTTTGATATCATTCATAATACGGTAGGGTGTTGGTTAACTCATAAACCATAGCTAGCAAAAGTTGGTTCCATTCCAAGGAAAACTATGACTTTCAACCCTTGTCAATTTGATGAATATTGCAAATTGGGTTGAATGATCTCAAATATTCTCACAGTTGTGTATAAACTGATTCCTGATTGGTTTAACTGAAACAATATTAATGCATTCGAAATGTTCTACTTCTGAAGCAGGTTTGTAACCTATTTAGGCTTTTCGACTTCAGGATATCTCGCTCACTAATTTTCCGAGCCTCCGATATATGATTTTTTTTTCAGGAGGAAACACAAGCATGGTTATCATCCTCCCAGATGAAAAAGACGGTTTGGTTAGACTAGAGCAAAATATGAAGGATATGATGGCTCCAAAGCCATTCCAACTAGCCATGGTGGAAGTTCAAATGCCGAAATTCAGAATTGAAAGTACCATTGAAATGATTCCAATGCTCCAAAAAGTAAGTATGAATATGGTAATGAAGTTTTTATACCAATCAAATACTTTTTTTCTTCAAAATTAAGGAAAAAATTACTCAAAACTATTCATTTGTAGATGGGAATTAAAAAAATATTCGATGAAACAGAGGCTAACTTGTCTGGTTTGTCATCGACGGACAAAAAGCTAGTTATTTCTGATGTTGTTCAAAAAGTTTTCATCGATGTGGATGAGGCTGGAACTGAAGCTGCAGCTGCAACAGCAGGTTAGTTGCATGGACGTAGAAAAATAATTTTTCTACGTCCATGGTTATGGACGTAGACCAGATAATTTTGAAATTTTGATCGGAACATGTGTATACGAGGTCCGGCTATTAAATAACGAGACTGCCCGCCTAGAGGGCGCCCTAGAAGGGTGGGGAAAAAACGAGTAGTGCGTTGGGTATCTGGAAATATTCTCTACTCACGTACCAAAACACACGTTTTCGTCACAATTATAGTATTTGTGAAATAGCGGTTTGAAACGAACGTGTTTTTTCTCGTGCCGTAAACCATGTGTGACGAAAAACAGGAACAACTTGTCAATTTCAAATTTTTCGTTAAATTGAAAAAAACTCTGAGTGCTATAAATTGTTGCAAGAGGCCTAGAGAGAAAGTTCTCTATCTCGTGCGCGAGTCTTTGAGTGATGTGAGCGCTTCAGTGAGGGCTGAGGGCAAATTGTATGTGCAGATCGTCGAATGAGCATCCGGATGATTGCCGAGGCTGTAAACGCCGCTGTAATGAAACGGTTAAAAATATTCCACACGAGGAATTACACATGACAAAGTCAGTGCGAAGTTGGTGCCAAAAAACCTGACTACTGACCTAAATCTCTTGCGTCAACAGGTCCGTTCAGGTTTCCTTGAAAGGTTAGAGGAAGATCCCGGACTGGTGAAAAACATTATTGCTTGCGACGAAACGTAGATTTTCAAATACAATGTTAACACAAAGCGGCAATCGATGCATTGAAAGGCGCCTGAGTCGCCCAGAATAAAAAAAGCAAGGATTTCCAAATCAAAATTCAAGGCAATCTTTGACATTAACGGTATCGTGATAACTGAATGGGTTCCACAGAGTTTTGGCAACGAGTTCGTAAGAAACGGTCCGAGTTGTGGAAGAATAACTCATAGATTTTGCACCAGGATAGAGTACCCGCTCATAATGCGCTATTTGTGAAGCGGTATCTGGAGGATAAACGCACTCCAGTGCTCGAACACGTGCTATACTCGCCAGATTTGGCAACGTGCGACTTTTTTTATTTCCGAAGATAAAATGTGCTTTGAGTGGGACCCGATTTGGGTCGATTGAAGCGGAGAAGCAAAAAACGGCAGAGCTCCCAAAGGCCCTCACCAAAGAAGACTTCCAGCACTGCTTCGACCAATGGAAAAACATATGGAAAGGTGTGTGGCGAGGGAGAGGGGGTATTTTGAAGGAAGGCATTCGAACGTAGAATAATTTATATAGTAAAACCCTTTTTCGTAACAGTTTCGTTATTTAATGGACGGACCTCGTA